GACACTTCTTTTATTAAGCCTTAATTATGAAATGGTAATTCACTCGGATAACTGGTAACAATTAAGATGGTAATTCACTCGGATAACTGGTAACAATTAAAACTGGTAATTTACTCGGGTAGAGAAGGTTTTATTAAAATCTATTTGAACTTGAATGTTGACTAGTAATCGGATTCTTTGAATAACAATAACTGAACTATTGAGAGACGTATGCTATTGGCGCCAGTTTTCATCTCACAAGACATCAACATATTGTCGCCGTGTTCTTGATTTAAACTCAGTTTATCGGCTGAAACTAAATTGTGTATTTCGTCCGTGGATTTGTAGCTTGTGATCTGTTACAGCTTAGGATATTTAAATGTTTCTGAGAAGAAACTAATCTGAATAATATTATCAAAAGATCTTATATTCTTAACTTCTTCGAGCGTTAACTGGAAATTTCACTAAATATGATTTCTAGAGGGATGGGTGTTACTTAGTGGATCCAAGGAAGTCGCGCTCCGCAATTTAGGGATTTCTTTGATGGTCAAATCCCACTATTGGATCAGAGTAGCTCAAGAACTGGCGGTGACCTTTTTTTCATAGAGAAGATTAGTGCGGATAGCCCTTGTGTAGCTCTAGTTTTGAGCGATTATTCAGAATAAGAAGTACTTTGCACGCCCTCTGATGTCCAGAATACGATATTTTGTGTTATGATGTCTTCAGGAGTTTGTAGTCCCACAGAAGATATGAAAATGTGGTTCAAACGAAACATGTTTAGTTTTCTGACATCTGTGACCCCTAGGTGGGTCAGCTGTAATTTTTGAGAATGAGAGCGCTAAAATCCGAGGTTCAACTTCCTGCAATGGGCAGATGGCTAAAACACTACCGCATGAATTATCTTGTTAGGCCATAGTTTAAATGTTTTAATTTCTGTCTTAAACCCTATTACCACTAACCGGACCTAATGTGACGTGAGGGGGCGCATTAGAATATGAAAAATTAGAATCCGTTACTAATTTTGTGCACGTGCAGAACACCTCCAATATAAGAAAATACGTTTCCTGTACATGCCAGCCTAATTGTTACCAGTTATCCGAGTGAATTACCATCTTAATTGTTACCAGTTATCCGAGTGAATTACCATCTTAATTGTTACCAGTTATCCGAGTAAATCACCATCTTAATTGTTACCAGTTATCCGAGTGAATTACCATCTTAATTGTTACCAGTTATCCGAGTGAATTACCATCTTAATTGTTACCAGTTATCCGAGTGAATTACCAGCCTAATTGTTGCCAGTTATCCGAGT